TAAATAAATTAAAAAATTGAAGTTTTAAAAAGTAAAAAATATATTTCTTATTACTATTATTCAATAAATAATTACCGATTTGAAGCCAAAATTCGTCATCTAACTCTGCATGAAATATCTGATCATGCAGAGTTGGGTTTGTTATTGGTTGGTCGTGGGGATTCTCCCCAACTTCCAACCTCTTAAGATTTTTGTACCTATATATTTTAATGAGTACTATTTTCTTCGACATTGAGAGAGAAAAGCGGCGAACCCTCTATTAAGAAACAATTGGTTGGATATGGTTCTCCGTATCCTTTTATGACGATTGTTAGAAATGAACTCAAAATTGTCATGATTATCATGTTGAAGTCGAATTAATTCTCTTGCAGCGTCAACTGTCCATTCGAATGGAGCTACAGTGGGAACAGTCAAAGCCATAATGATAGAAATAGAGAAGAAAAAGGAAAAAATGAAATAAACGAGATGAGAAATAAAAAAAATAAAAAAAATGAAATAAACGGGATCGAGAAATAAAAAGAAAGAAGGAGAAAACGAAATAAATGGGATCGAGAAATAGAGAAGGAAAAAGAAAAAAACGAAATTAACGGGATCGAGAAATAAAAAAAATAAAAAAACGAAATAAACGAGATTGAAAAATAAAAGAAAAAAAACGAAATAGACAGGATCGAGAAATAAAAAAAAATGAAATAAATGAGATCGAAAAATAAAAAAAAGAAAAGAGAAGAACGGAATAAACGGGATCGAGAAATAAAAAAAAAATAAAAAAAAATAAAAAAAAATGAAATAAATGGCAATTGAGAAATTGACGTGAAATAAAAAATCCGAAAAAAAAAGAAAAAAAACGAATTAGAAATGGCGATCGAAAAAATAGGTGGAATAAAAAAATGAAATATTAAAAAGAAAAAAAAATGAAAAAAAAACAAATTAGAAATGGCAATCGAAAAAATAGGTGGAATAAAAAAATCGAATGATAAAAGAGAAAGAGAAAGAGAGAAAAAAAGAAAAAATGAATTTAAAAAAGAAAAATGAATTTAAAAAATTAAAATAACAGATAAAACAATAAGAAAAATAATCGAAAAATAAAAGATGAAGGAGACAAGAGAAGTTTTATATTTGTGATTTTATTATGATATATT